GCTGGTTGGGAGGGGAGAGAGCAAGGGGAAGGGGCTGTGAGTGTTTAATGCACCCTGCCACAACCCAACAGTTTGCCCTAAAGAGCCTTTTTACCGATATAAAAGGACAGGGTCAAAAGTAAGTTGACCCCTGACAGAATGTACAATTATTAGAAGGAGGCTGTGTACGAGCAGCTGCTGGAACCCCACTGGCTCCGCACTGGGCTTCCAAGAGTCAGAATATGAATAATCAACTCAAGATTGTTTTCTCCACCCCTCTCCACCCTCACCACCTCCCCCCAACCTTCTCCCCCCTGTTTTGGGCAAGCCCTGTTCTCTTTCTACAGGAAGAAGCATAGCCCTCCCTAGCAGCTGCAATAATTGTGTTCCTATTGTGAAGAAGACCTCCTCCTGGCCACCCCCGACAAGTGGCTATTGTGAGCCAGAGAGTCAGTGATTACACGCTCCCCCTGACGCTTTGAGGGACCCAGCTGCCTAAGTGCTGACACACGAGCTTGGGGAAGGCCAGGGAGGGGTCTGGTGGAGGTGAAGGCAAGAGGTGGGGGAAACCCACGGCTGTGAGATGGGACTCTGACATACCAGACCTTTTGCATAAGTCAAGCCCAGAACAAATGAGGCTTTATCAGGTCCCAATGACAAGGGTCTCATCTCCCTTTGAAGTGGAGCTGAGCATGGGGCCCAGCAGCTTTTCCTCCTTTGGACCAAGCAAACATCCTTCTTTTGATACGCTACATGCTCATTATCTCTGCCCCATTTAATGATTTTTGATTGAAGGGTGGCGGCTGGGATGCTGAGAGGATCGTTAGGCTCCATCCAGCCAGGCCCGAAAGAAAGGCTTTCCTTGTGCCTGGGCCTAAATTTGGAATTTCTTAACAGTGTGCACTTGTTCTTAGAGGCAGATAAGGGCTGAGCGTGAAATTCTTAATTAAGCAATAAATAGAGAGTGGGGTGTCAGCAGATGTAGCCAGTAGCCATGGCAACAGGGATCACATGGGCAAGAGAGCTGAGACTCGATGTAGGCCTCAGGCCTGGGCCTGACTGACAGCTGAAGAATCCTACAAAGCTTGTAAACCAGATTAATTAGCTGACTAATTATTTCATAGCGTTAATGTAACTAAAAAATAAAAATAGTTCACCATGAACTGAAACATCCCTGGAAAAAACAGCAGGGACAGAGGCAGTGGAAAACTAGCTCCGTAAGGCAGAGACACGAGCAGTCAGTGAATCAAATCCTGTGAATGGAAAAATGGGCTTGCTGGATTTTTCTCCAAACTTTGCAAACATAAAAGAACACTTGTTCTACAGTCATACCCATTCCCAAGCGTGGCCTAGAAGTTCCAGTTGGAACACACAATAATAGTTCATCATGTTCACAACAGTTTATCACTCCAAATATTGTTCCTACTAAGTCCTAACACAGAGTATCTCACACAAGTGCTTTATTTAGTGTCTGTTTTGTAAGTAGCTCCTTGGGCAAAATTCTTAGTGGCTTTAGAAAGGCAGCCTGAACCAATCTCCTTAAAAGATATTTTTAAATGAGCAAGGTTATCTTATTCTGTGGTTAACAATTGCTTAAGTGGTATTAGATTCCAATCATGGGAACGATATATTGTATATGTCCTATTATTGTCGATCTCAGTTATCTCACAGCATTTGAAAAAAGAAAATAGAAGATCCTTTCAGAAAGGTTCTGATGTGTACACTGAGTTGAGGACACATGATATTATTAATCTTCTGGGAAGAAAGAAAAGTTCTAGAGAAACAGTCTATTGAGAAAAATTTTAGTAAAGTAACATGGCATACTACTCTCACTTTACTATGTTTGGGTGTTTTGTGCCACAGTTCCAAGAGACAAGTAAATATTCTTAACTTCGTTGTATAAATGAAGCCATTGAGGCATAGAGCAATTATAGTGCCATGCCCCAGGTAAAATAGCCAGCCAGCCACTGATTAAAACCCTGAGCCCAAGCTCTGGCCACGAGCTTTCCAAAAGACGTTGCACTCCATAAAGACGTTTGCAGAACAAAGACAAAACTTGCCTTGATGGAGAAGAAAAAAATGCAAGCGTCAACACCTATTATATGTGCAGGATTTTTTTCTTTGTCACTGGGGATCAATGAGAAGTATTCTCCCACAACCCTGCCCAGCACCCTGTATCCTGTTTGGTCAGTGACCTGTGATTATTTAGTGGGTAGCACACTCTAGTGGAGAGAGCCACAGCCAGGAGCTAGAATGCCTGGGTTCTGTTTTTGTTTTGTTTTGTTTTGTTGTTCTTTTTCTTCCATTCTCAGTAGGATCTAAGATTAGTCAGGTAAGTTACATCACACATGAAGCAGCCAAATGGAGGAAATAAAGATAATTGTGATTTTTTTAAAAGACTTCCTGTCCTAGGGGATGTGGTAGAGGTTGAGGACAAATAATACAAAAGATGGTCCACTTAGAAGTGGTCAACCAGTAAAGGAAATGCAGCCAACTGTCAGTGAAGCAGCACGGAGCAAAATGCCAGCCAAGAAAAGGAGCTGCACCCCCTGGAAAATCTGACACGAAACTCTGAGGTTCTGAAAGATGTCAAGCAGTTTCGCTGAGAAAAAATAAAAATAAAATAAAGTTTCTGTATACCACAACTCTTCCCATGTGTTTTTTTTCATTCCAGGAATGTGCCCACATAGACATGAGGTATTGACCTAGGTCTTCTTCTTAGATTAAATGTATTTTATGTAAACTATCCCAGTCATGATCCTATAAAGTCAAGTTGTCTTAAAAACAATTAAGTGAAAGGAGCAATCTAATTAACATGAAAAATACACGGCACAAAGCTGGATCTCTATTTCTTGAGGTCTTGTTGGGGTACCAGCTGCAGCAACCACCTATTTGACATTTATGACATTGGGGAAAGCAGTCAGGCCTATGGAAAACACATTAGCCTAATCTCTACCTCCCTATAGCTCTCGTCAGCTTTTCACAGAGGATATCCAAAATGATAATCAACCACACAATCCTGTGTAGCCACATGGCACACCACCACGGAAGAACAGTACAAGCCTCAGCCTCAGCGTCTCCTGAGTCCCCACACCCGCACTGTGCCAGCCCAGAACTGAAGACAGAAGTGGCTCCAGCCACATATCTACCCCATACATGCAGAGGATGAAGGAGGCCCCAATGACCATAAAAATGCCTACTACTTGAAATCTTCTTCAAGGCGCAAGGGTCTCCATATTTATTAAACACTCAGCAAACCCTCTGTGGTCTCCTGTTTTCCGCCCCCCCCCCAACTCATATTCAAAGGTGGAGATACTAGGATATTCTGATACAATGAGTTTTAAACAATAAAGGCTATCCACCTATTAAAATGTTGAGACGTTCATCGATCCCATATATATGCACATATAGACATACAGATAGATGTACACCTACATATAAGTACTTATGCTCACACGTAGCTACTTACACAGATATGCATTTATACTATATGTGTATATATATTATAATAGTATAACTTGCTTTTAACTCAATTAATAATGCTATGAAAGGAGAAGAAAATCTATAGCTGCATGACTCGCTTTCTTGTGTGTGTGCTGTAAATATTTTTTAGCATGTTTGGCCGACGTGAATATTCAAATTAGCTCACAATTCACGAACAAAATCTGACCAATGGACAAGAGAAGCTCTTAAGAATCATGCTAACCAATAGGAAGAAAGCAACTCAAATTAAAGATTTGCTCCAGAATACATATCAAGTGTATAGCCATAAAGTTCTTGTCAGCTATTTGCCCTTACTATGACTGCTCGGCTCTAGTGGTCAAACAAACTCAGGGATCTCTGTTCATCCCAAGTTTTGATAGTTTTAGGTTACATTTATGAATGGATCAAATAAGGAATGAAATTTGAATGGTGCTGCTCAGTGAAAATAAAATATACAGCAATCCATTTGGCAAAAACTCTAAAAATACCAGAGAAGAACTAGACTCCCTTCTCTGGTGCTATTACAATTGAATAGTTCCAGGTGCCATTGTAGATTAGACTCAATTGACATATGGTTAGGCACAAATGAGAGAGACAAGGGACATGGAACCATTGCCCATCCCTCTAAATCTTTAGGGTCATCTGGCTTGTGGCAGGGGCTGGAACTTGCTAAGTTGATAAAGACCTCTGGATTGACCAGAAACTTTTTAAAAAATATTTATCTATTTATTTTGAGTCAGAGTCTCACTCTGTCACCCAGGCTAGAGTGCAGTGGCACGCTCACGGCCAATGCAGCCTCGACCAGCTGGGCTCAGGCGATTCTTCCGCCTCAGTCTTCCAAGTAGCTGGAACTACAGGCATGCACCACCATGCCTGGTTAATTTTTTGATTAACTGTAGAGACAAGGTCTCGCCAAGTTGCCCAGGTTGGTCTTGAACCTCTAGGCACAGGCAATCCTCTCACCCCTGCCTCCCAAAGTGCTGGGATTATAGGCGTGAGCTATTAGATCCAGTGACTAGAATCTTTTAAGAGCAATTTATAACCCAGCTGTCACTTTAGAGTCCCATTTTGCCAGATTTTCTTTCTTACACACCACTGTCAGAAGTGGTCTTACCGTGGTCATAATCAGCCATTCCTCTTTACACATGCAATTGTTTCTTTACAAACACAACACTACCCTAAAGTGAATTAAATAACCACCAGTGTTTAGTAAGCATTTGCTGCGGGCTAGGCGTTTTACATGTGATCCTTTATTTAATTTCCTTACCTTTGAGGTAGGCACTGTGGCTATCCTGCCCTACAGAGGGCGAGACTGAGTCTTAGAGAGAAAGAGCACCCGTTCTGTGCGTGCCAGCTAGTGTGTGTCAGGGCTGAGATTTAAACCTAGGCAGTCTGATCAGGGAGCACACTCACAGAACCATGACATACAGCTGTCCCCCTCTGTGCCTCTGCACTTCACAGCACAATGTCTGGAACTCAAGAGTCAATAGTGGTCTCAACTATGTGCCCTCAAAACGTTCACCTAGTTGGAGACTTACCCAGATAGGTGAGTTGCCTCAGCTGGCTGTTGAAGAACCAGTCACAGCCTTGGTTCTGACTGGGCGATGGAAGAGATGGAAGAGACAGACCCATTCGACTTCCGCATTGTAGGAGGATGTCAGGGTAAGACGGTAGGTCTGTGTGCACCAGCAGGAGGAAATTCTCGGGAGTAAAGTTGTCCAGTGTTGCCGAGTACTTGAATTGAAAGAAAAACACAATAGTGCTCATTTAGTAATGAAGTTGCACCCCCCCCAAAATGACAGAGTGTGCAGAATTAGGACAGTGCAGACACAGACTGTGAGAAATAGGTCTACTTAAACACACTCCATAAAGAATTCATAACTAGAAATGAACAAAGCTATACATTTCTTCCTGTTTAAAGATCTCAATGAACATAAAAGAACACCAAGGCCCAGAAAAGTGAATCGACTTGTCTCAGGTCAAACAGCTAGAAGAGATAGGGCCAAGTCTAGAGTTCCTTTCCAGTTTTTCCACAACTTGAAGAGGCAGGCAATGATAAGAGTGTTGTTCATTCATCACAGTCATAGCTGACACTATTGGAGCATTTACTACATGATCAGGCATATTCATCTGAGTCATTCAATCCTTGAAAGATCCCCTATGATAAATACTCTTGCTACCCCATTCTACAGTTGAGAAAACTGAGGCAGAGAGAGGTTCTGTAACTTGCCCACATCACAAAGCAGGAGAGAGTCGAGCCAGGGCATAAACCCAGGTGTCCACCTCCAGAGTCATATCCTACTGCCTTCCTTGAATGAAAATTCCCCAGAATGTTCTCCTGAGAACCTCAAGGAAAGGAAGGAGAGGCGTATATACTCTCTGAGAGCCTGGTGAGAAGATCAAAAGCGATTCTGTTCTGAACTCCTCCAACTGTGGTTGGTGCACCTAAGGCAGCTTCTATCTCCCTAAGATCTAGAAATGTGTGTGTTGAGATAGGAAGAACAAGGATGTTAAAAGGAAGAAAAGAAATTTGAGGAAATCCACTGGACTGCTTTTACTAAAATCTCGAAAATGCACTCACTTTCCTCATGACTCTATCTATCTTCACTCCCACTTACCATTTGACTCCCTTAACCCAAACCCAGCCTGGGGACTCACGTAGACCTTTATTTGCAAGTTAATTTTTGACCACAAGATGGCAGTATGCAATGGACAAATGCCTTATGAAGACATTTTCTCTGGCTACAAACACTTTTCTCTGGGGTAAATTAGTTTTTAACCCGTAATTTTTTTTTTTTTTTAATGTAGTTCTGTAGTGTGCCTAGAGGTTGTTTTTGTTGTTTTAATAAATTTAAAATCTCAAGGAGAACCATTCTGCATTCAAGTTTTTAAAAGCAATCAAATCTCACATTCAGGTTATATTCTTCTGACAACAATACTACTGCAATTTTTGTTATTAGTATCAGAATATGCCAAGACTTGCCACCCATTATTTCACACAAGAAAAGATAAGAACCCCTAGGGATGGGACATACTGATAAATGGATTCCCATGGTTACCTGCATGGATCTGTTGATACCAGGGTTCTCAAATCGCAACGAGTAGGTCTCTTGGTCCAAGAGCACAGCCATCCAGCCATGAGGGTTAGACAATGTATCACGTACATAATTGACAGTGATTGTCTTATTTCTGCTGTCAGTGATGGTTAAGTCATAAGAAACATCAGGAGCATTAGCTCTAGAGTGATTTAAAAGAAAAAAATATGTAGATTTCAAGGTTATTTGCCCATTCTGGATGTGATACGTTTCTTTTCAATCTATTGCAACCACCTTTCTATTCTCTCCATATATATCCTAGGCCCTCTGTCTTTGTGTCTATGGAGGATTTAGGAGTCACTGCGAGGGTCAAAACAACCCAGTGATAAGTTGCCCATTGGATGGTTTACACATTACACTGGCCTGATGAACTGGAAGTAGTAACCCTCAGATCTTAGGGCACTAATAAATGTCATGTTGATGCATTCAGGACTATCTACTATTATTTTTTTGTAATGCCTATGGCTAGAATTTTTCTGTAGGACAGATTTATCAGCAGCAGAAAACACATTATTATTGGCAATTAGATATTCCCATGGAGAGCAACAACAGAGACCTGGGACCTGACATTCCTGGTCTCTCAGATACCTACTCCAACGGCCCAACATGAATGACTTCAGCAGCCTTCTCTAGCATGAAGAGATGACCTGCTCCTCTTCTATGGGTTTGCATAATGCCCAGTAATGCTCACTGCTATTATAGTACTTCTGTGTTCTTGGGTTTGCTTTTTGAAAACCATTGATTATAAGATCCTTGAGTTAGAGATATCTTCTCCTTCTTCTTGGTATTCTTTGCTCTGTCACAGGGGCTCACACACAATGGCACCCAAATCATATTTGTTAATGAATAAAGAATATACAGATGAGATCTTCCAAAAGCAGCCAGTGCCATTTTCCTAATTTATATAAATGGTTTCTAGAAGAAATGCATTTTACCAAATGAGGAAACTGAGGCAGAGTATGGCAAAAGTAATATGGGATTACCCCCAAAATAGAACTAGAAATCTCTGAACCAAGATTTCTCAAATTATTCTCTACAGCCCATCTCAGAAAGTGATTTTTAAGACTTCATTAGAGCATAAATAGGTTTAGCCAATGCTAAAACCCTTTCAAAAGAGTCAAAGTAGACCTTTAAAAAAAAAAAGTCAAAAATAAAATCAATACACATTATGACTGTCCTTCTTCCTTTGGTTTAGTTTTCATGAGAATCTTTAACTGTAGCATTTTGCTGCAGGCAGATAATTAAATTCTCAAAGTAGAGGGAAATGAGACAAAAGAGGATGTTGGGTTTCACAGTGAGCTTGGGGCATGAGTATATCTAAAGCCAATTTATAAGCCAGTGGCATATTATGAAAAGGAAAACATCTCTTTAGCGTTGCATATTTGGGCACTGGAGTCAAATGGGTATAAATTGGAAATCTAAATCAGCACTCAGTAGGAGTGTGAACTTGGGCAAAGTACAACCCTGTCTAAGATTTAGACGTCTTTCTTTTTTAAAATAAAGTCAAAAATAGCATTATGTCATATAGCTGCTGTGAAACTTAAAGAGTTAATCTATATAAAACACTCAGTAGCCATTACCAAGGCCAATAACATCTATTTACATCTTATTTTAGAAAAATATCAGATGTGCCAAATCTACTATCTGTACCCTCTGAACTACTTATTTTAATGTCTAGAGGTTTAAGCAGGATATTTGGTCATTTGAAAACATGCCCCACGTCTTTTTTTTTAATTTATTTTTTAATTTTAAAGGTGTGGGTACAAGTCAGGATTAGGCATACCAGTGCTCATAATACAGGTAAAGTTTGGTCCTTGCTTTGGTCTCCACTTTGCCTGGTTTGAGATCAGGTACACTTTTTGATGTTGTGTCCTCCCCGTTACCCTCATCCCGGTAGTAAAGCATAATGGTAATTGTTCAGGGTCCACTTATGAGTGAGAACATGTGGTACTCTGTTCTTTGGTTCTGTAATAGATCACTGAGTATGATAAACTCTAAACCCATCCAAGGTGCTGAGAAGTCCATATATTTACCCTTCTTTATGACTGCAAAATATTCCATTGTGCATATGTTCCACTTTTTTTTTTTTTTTTTTTTTATCCAGTCCGGTTTCGATGGGAAGCACGGTTGGGTCAATGTTTTTCTATTGTGACCAGTATTGCAACAAACATGCAGATGCAGGTATCTTTTTTGTAGAATGATTTGAGTTCCTCTGGTTATATGCTCAATGGGGGGTTGCTGGGTCATATGGAAGGTCAAATTTCTAGTTCTTTCAGAAATCATCACACTGTTTTCCAAAGAGTTTGCAATAGCTTACATTCCCACCAGCAGTGTAGAAGCGTTCCTTTTCCTCCACATCCTCACCAGCATCTGTTGTTTGTTTTATTAATGATGGCCATTCTTACTGGGGTTAGGTGGTATCTCACTGTGGTTTTGATTTGCATTTCTCTGATGATTAGTGAGGCTGAGCACTTTTTCATGTGTCTGTTAGCTGCCCATATATCTTCTTTTGAGAAGTGTCTACTAATGTCTTTTGCCAACTTTTTAATGGGGCTGTATGTTTTTTTCCTTTTAGAATGTTTGAGTTGTAGATGCTGGATGTTAGCCTTTGTCAGACATACAGTTGGCAAATATTTTTGCCCAGTCTCTGGACTTTCTACCCATCCTCTTGATGGTTTCTTTGGCTTTGCAGAATATTGTCAGTTTGATGATGTCCCACTTATCTATCGTATCTTTTATGGCATGGGCACTTGGGGTTTTGATCAGGAATTGGTTGCCAGTTCCAATTTCCATAAGGGTGTCTCCTGCATTTTTTAAGGTTTTTATAGTGTGAGGTTTCACATTTAGGTCTTTGATCCATTTAGAGTTGACTTTTATGTATGTTGCTAGGTAGGGATCCTATTTCAATCTTCTGCATGTAGTCAGTCAGTTTTCCCAGCAAAATTAAATAGGTTCTCGTCTCCCCAGGGGTTGTTGCCAAAGATGAGTTGGTTTAGAAATTTAAGTTTTGCTTCTGAAATCTCTATCCAGTTCCATTGGTCTATATGCCTGTTCTTGTACCAGTAACAGGCTGCTTTTATTATTGTGGTCTTATAGTAATGTTTGAAGTCTGGATGTGTGATGCCTCCTGCTTTGGATTGTTTTGGCTATTCATGGTCATCTATGTTTCCATATGAATTTCTGTATTGTCATTTCCAGGTCTGAGAAGAATGATTTTGTAATTTAATGGGTGTTGCATTAAATTGTAATTTAATTGTAGATTCCCTTTGGTAGAATGGACATCTTAACAATGTTGATTCTTCCTATCCATGAGCATGAAATATTTTTCCATTTGTTTGTGCTTCACGGATTTCTCTGAGAAGTGTTTTGTAGTTTTCATTGTAAAGGTCTTTCACTTCTCTGGTTAGGAAGATGCTGAGGTATTTTATTTTGTGTGTGTGTGGTTATTGTGAATGGAATAGTGCTTTTTATTTGGTTCTCTCCCTGCTTGTTGTTGGTGTATGAGAATGCAACTGTCTTTTACACATTTATTTTGTATCCCAAGACTTTGCCAAAGTCCTTTATCAGTGCAAGGAGGTTTTTGACAGATTCATTTGGATTTTTGAGGTATAAGATCATATTGTCAGCAAAGAGGGATAACTTTTCTTCTTTTCCTTTTGATTCCCCTGATTTCCATCTCTTGCCTAATTGCTTTAGCTAGAATTTCCAACACAATGTTGAATATATGGGGTGAGAGTGGACAGCCTTGTCTTGTTCCAGTTTTCAGGGAAAGTGTTTCCAGTTTCTGTCTGTTCAGCAATATGCTGACTGTGGGTTTATCATAGATGGTGCTTATTATTATTTTGAGGTGTGTTCCTAGGTGTTCAAGGGCTTTTATCATGAAGGGATGCTGAAAAAACAAAACAGGAGGTATCACACTCCTAGACTTTAAACTCTATTATAAAGCTACAATGATCAAGACAGCCTGGTATTGGTACATGAACAGGCATACAGACCAATGGGACAGAATAGAGATTCCAGAAGCAAAACCTCAATTTCTCAACCAACTCATCTTCAACAAAGGCTCCAACACCAAAGACTGGGGAGAGGAGAACCTATTTAATAAATGATGCTGGGAAAACTGACTGACCACAGGCAGAAGATTAAAACAAGATCCTTACCTATCATCATACACAAAAATCAACTCTAAATGGATCAAAGACCTAAATGTAAAACCTCAAACCATAAGAACCTTAGAAAATGCAGGAGACACCCTTATGGAAATTGGAACTGGCAGCCAATTCCTGATCAAAACTCCAGGTGCCCATGCCATAAGAGATAAGATAGACAAGTAGGACCTCATCAAACTGACAATATTCTGCAAACTCAAAGAAACCATCAAGAGAGCAGGGAGAGAGCCCACAGACTGGGCAAAAATATTTGCCAACTGTATGTCTGACAAAGGCCTAACATCTAGGATCTATAAGGAACTTAAATGTGTCAAAAAGAAAAAAACAAACAGCCCCATTACAAAGTGGGCAAAAAATATGAATAGACACTTCTGAAAAGAAAACATATGAGCAGCCAACAGATACATGATAAATGCTCAACCTCACTAGTCATCAAAGAAATGCAAATTAAAACTACTCTGAAATACCACCTAACTCCAGTCAGGGATGGCTATCATCAATAACTAAAAAAACAACAGATGCTGGAGAGGATTCAACTTCTACACTGTTGGTGGGAGTGTAAAATAGTACAGCCTCTGTGGAAAACAGTGCGGCGATTCCTAAAAGATCTAAAAATCGACCTTCCATATGACCCCACAATCCCCCTACTGGGAATATACCAAGAAGAACTCAAATCACTCTATAAAAAAGATACCTGTACACATATGTTTATCACAGTATTGTTTACAATAGCAAGAACATAGAACCAACCATGGCACCCATCAAAAGAGGACTGAATTTTAAAAACGGGGTACATATACACAGTGGAATATTACGTTGTCACAAAAAAGAACAAAATCATGAACTTCACAGCAACCTGGATGGACTTAGGGTCTATAATACTGAGTGATCTTTCACAGAAACAAAAAACTGAGTATTACATGTTCTCACTCGTAAGCAGATCTTGAACAATTAACGTAATACTGTAAGAAAA